GTAAGGCACCTGTTACTACTAGCTTCTTGTTACTACTAGTAAGGCACTTGTTACTACTAGCGTGGCACCTGTTACTACTAGCTTCTTGTTACTACTAGTAAGGCACTTGTTACTAGCGATGCACTTGTTTCACCGTTTCACCGCTCGTCACCACATCTGTCCGAGCAACGGTCAGTGCACCCAAGAGGAAGAAAACCACCTCAGAGATGTCTTTCAGCGTGTCGGAGACCGCAGTCTCGAACTCCTACCACTTCAGTTGTCAATGAGGCCTTCGATGGTGCCCCAGTCGCGCACAAAGCGAGCATTGGTCAAGCGACTTTGAGCTGTTTCATAGCCACGTTGAAAGAGCAAAAAGGGCTGGCGACATCTACTTGGGAATACCATGGATTGGAAAGTAACTGAAAGTGCTGCAATCTCTCCCAGGATGATGGCTCAGCGCACTCATAAGTTTATAGAGTTTCAGTAAGCTGGCTAGGTTGGAGGCCATCGCTAGTGGGTTGGAGGCCATCGCTAGTAGGAGCAAAGGACGCTACTAGGGCCTCCTGGCATCGCTACTAGGAGCAAGGACGCTACTAGGCTCTGTTTTTGTTCTCTTTTTCGCTATTAGGTTGTCTCCATGCACAACGTCCTCGCTGGGCATGGTCACGCCGGTGCCGATGAAGGCCCAACTGAGCATGCCATGCAAAGTGGCAACGTTGGACAAAAGGATCAATTATTCTTGTAAGAAGAGGGTGGGATGCAAGTGACTTGGTTTGTCCCAAAGTATGTGGATACATGGGTGTTAATTAGATTCCTTGGCTAGTAATTGTAATTAGACTCTAATTGAATTATATTTAGATATTGTTTCTAATAGCTTCTTGTTACCACTAGTAAGGCACCTGTTACTACTAGTAAGGCACTTGTTACTAGTAGCTTTCTACATAAGCCCGGTATGTTAACGGTGTTTTCACATGGGTTCCAAGTGGATTCCAAAGCACATCATCACGCCCAAGATCAGTGCGGTGGCCGTCTTGTGGATCTCGGTGACCTCCTCCAAAACAATGATCCCGTAGCCCGCGATGAAGGTCAAGACGATTGGGAGGAACCTCGAGCATCGACCGGATCTGGAATGAGGTTATACAGAGTTCACGCATCTCCTAGTAGCTGCTTGCTCCTAGTAGTACGCCCCTAGTAGCGTCCTTGCTCCTAGTAGCGATGCCAGGAGCCCCCAGTAGCTTCTTGTTGGCAGAGTTTGCAAAAGTTCCATCACTGTTCAACTCCAAGTGAAACTCCTCATCGACCCAAAAGGTAACGCGATCAACAACACCGCTCCAAGTGGCTCATTCTGCTTGCCTTCCAAGCCTGGGACCGGGACAATGCCCTGCTGGATGCCACTCCTCAGAAGTACGCTGACGAAGCTAAGCCGCTTGAAGGGCAAAGGGCAAAGAAAAAATGAAAACGGTTTGGTGCCTTTGTTAACTCGGAAGTAGAAAACCATCAAAGTCGATCTTGTTCTGGCTTGAGATAGGTGAACCGGGTTTATTGACAGTGCGATCAAATCAAGAGTTGTGTTGGCCAAGATGCATGAGAATCACCCAGAGGAACAGGCCTGTCATCACAGGTGGCAGGATGTCCTCAAGACATGGGGCGAGCATGAAGCGAGCACCACAACGAATGACAAAAACATTGCTTTTAATTCTATTCTAATTATTGTTTCTAATAATTGGCAAACATTGTTCCTGGTAGTAAGGCCAGGAGCCCCTAGTAGCATTCTTGCTCCTAGTAGCGATGCCCTTTGTTCCTAGTAGCGTCCTTGCTCCTAGTAGCAAGGCCAGGAGCCCCTAGTAGCTTCTTTGCGACCAAGCTTCTGGGTTTCCGTGCCCATGCTTCGGGGCCTCTGCACGCCTCAGCACCTTGCTGGTTTGACGGCACATCACCTGAGCATGCTCAGGCGTCTCCCATGGTGATCACATGCAGTCTACAGTCAAGGTTTGTGCTGTACTTCTGTCCCAAATCGGTTCTCACATTGACATAGATGACTGCAGTAGTGGGTAGTAGGCTACAGTTGTCTTTGGGCAAGAAGGCTCAGAAGGCGAAGGACAATCCTGTCGTTTGGGAAGACCGAAGCATCAACCGAGCGCTCTTAGGTTGGAGGCCATCGCTAGTAGTAACAAGAAGCTACTAGGAGCAAAGGGCATCGCTACTAGGAGCAAAAAGGCTACTAGGGGCTCCTGGCCTTACTACTAGGAGCAAGAACGCTAGTGGCTCCTGGCATCGCTACTAGGAGCATTCTTACTACGAACGTAACAAGAAGCTACGACGACCTGCAGCACCGGCTGCGCCGGGCCACGACGAACAAGGCGGGGATGGCCACCAGTGTCGCGATACGGCCGTAGCCGCCGTCCTCCTGGGCGCCGCTATCCATCGATGATCGACTTGTTGAAAAGAAAAACAGAACCCAATTTTTTCACAAAAACCAAACAAAGTAAGCAAGTGAGACTGCAAAAAAAAGCATACTTCTTCTTTACATCAATCAAATCCCTTTCAACCATGGTCTCAGCGTGCTTTCACGGGACCTTCTCCACAGGTGCTGCCACATGGGCGAAGGCCATAGGGGAGGCCTTCCCGGGCGTAGCAGCATTGGAGGCCGTGGAGTTGAGGCCTCCAATCACGAAAAACGTCGCCAAACTGCAACATGTCGTGAGCGTCATGAAAGAATTTCAAAGTCGGGCTTCTTCTTTTACTAATGTTTGAAACCGCTCTGCAGTGTGCAATCATTGAATCGTTTTCCTGCTTCACCAACATTCCACTACGCCCTGTTTGGGGAATAGACTCAACTGCTTTCAAAATATATTGTCTAAAAACTTCTTGCGAGTAGGAATGTCAAGCTTGTCAAGATCTCCCTCAGAAACGCAGGCCATTTTGCTCATCAAGAATGTCATCCCTCTTTTGAAACTTGTGAATGTTTGTGTCTTTTTGGTTTTCTCTTTTGGCCAGAATTGATTCTAATTTAATCTCATTTCTGGTTGCGGTCTCATGAGTCTTTGTCGACTCCTGGACCCGGATCGGTCCGAAGAAAAGGAACCACTAGAGATGGCCTCCCCTAAGTGCAATGGCCTCCGGCCTCCAACCTACTCGAAAGAAAAACCAAAGCAATTCAACTTCGACTTCATGGCTCTAGTAACAGGGGTGAAAACCCCCAAAAGATCTTACGAATTAATGTGTTTGTTCTTTCATTCTGTGAATCTCTCTATGCCTGATTCCTAGTACAAATGATCTCACTACAGCCACACACCGTCAGGGCACACCGGACACTCTCGACACTCCGACATCCGCATAGTGGGTGGCCTGGGCAGACCTTTCTCCTTTCCGAACCTCCTTGGATCTTTGACTAGTAACAAGAAGCTACTAGTAACAAGTGCATCGCTTCTAGTAACAAGTGCCTTACTAGTAGTAACAAGGACGCTACTAGTAACAAGAAGCTTCTTTGACTCAGTCCGTCTTTGGCCTCGTGGGTACGAGAAGCCGCCGCGAGCTGCGAGGCCGATGAAGAGCACTGCCACGAAGAGTCGTTCGCTCCACTTCCGGCGCTGGCTGCGAGTGGTCACGGGCGCTGGGATGGCAGCCACAGTCATGGCGCAAACGAGGGTGAAGGCAAAGGCACGGGCGCAAGGGCTGCTTTGGGTTCTTCTTAAGCCACAATGGCTTAGGCACAGAGGCCTTCATGTGCTGGAGACATGATACTCCAATAACAGCAAACCCCAACCAATAATTGAAACAAACTTGCTAATGAGGCTCCTTACAAAGAAGCTGGTTAATCTACTGGTGTACCACTCCCCGATAACTAGCACGGTGCACAGATTTCCCTGATGGTGCCCGGTTACGGCTGTCGAGCATGGCATTGCATGATTGTCGCGTAAACGCGTGTCTCACAGATGATATGCAATTCACCACTCCATAAAGGGAGAGAAACCTTCCGTGTATGAAACCTGCACCGATCCGCTCAGAAGTGCGTCACATATCCGCTGAGACACATAAAAGGGCAAGAGAGGTGAGGCCAGGCGGGCATGAAAGGTCTCGGCCCGCTGCACCCGCATTACATCCTCGAAAAGGAGCGAACAGCAAAGGATAGGGATAGGGAACAACATGTTAGTAGGACTGATGGTCGAGTAATTTATCCACATCTTTGTTCGTCGCATGGCATATGCCAGGTACAATGGGTGCCTAAGTTACAGGGACCTACCCTTCAAGTCTGTTTTAGCATTCCAGGAATTCTTCTATCTATGCAACAACGATTGCAAAAAAGAATAAAAAAGACGGAACAAGACTGAAGCGTTGAATCCGCTAAGCGAGCTACCTCAACCAGCGACTCTCAAGACTCGCCGCTTCGACGGCAACTCGGACGTCCTCCATCAGTGGCCGCGCCAAGGCGTCCTCCCCGCGAAAGAAGCGCCGAAAACCACCTCGACGGTCTGGTCTTTCTGTTCTCGTCAAGTCTCTTCGTCACAAAGAGAAGAAAAGAGAGATGAAAAGAAAAAACAATAGAGGTGGAAAGCATGAAGGTTTAGCAGGCCGGATTGAACTCGGGGCTTTGAAGCTACTAGTAACAAGAAGCTACTAGTTAAGTTTCCCTGAAGATCTAGGAACCAAATCATTAGTGCGAGCGCTTCTTCAAGGAAGCTTCCCCCGCCGCCCGCCAGGGCAGCGGGGCGAGTTCGCGAGCTATCCTGCGTCCATACTAGTAGCTACTTAAACTACTAGCTAGCTACCTCACTTCCTACTAGCTACCCCTACCTAGCTCTACTTGCGGCCTACCCCCCACCCTATAAAAGCTACTAGTAGTAGTTCTTTCAAGCTTCTTGCTAGCAAATATCTAGGAGATTTCTCTTCTGTCCAAAAGCCAAAGATTCTCCGCCTGGCTGTGCAATGTCTGAGGCCTGGGGATCATCTGTGCTTCGGCCATGCCTTACTGATCAAGTCCAGTGACACATCATTTAAACACATTTGAACACCATCCATTTGGTCTTTTTATCATTTCATGGATCCATTTGTTACAGAGAAATACAAAATGCATTTAAAGAAATGAAACACGTCCAAGCCATTCTAAGGCTAATCCTCCTCGGGCTTGACTGCTCTCTTTCTGCCTGTCCCAAACATGTGGAAGTACGGAGCACCCTCAAGATTATGCTCTCCTATGCAAGTGTGGAGTGCCACGAGGAGAGCCTCCTCCTGCTTTGCAAAACCCAGGGCTGACAAGCATCAAAGGTCATCCAAAATGGTACGAGTCTCAGAAATCCCCGTAAGGTCACGCGATCTAGTTTGAGTGGAAATTGACCGGAGCCAAGTGAGCCATAACACAAAAAACTTTATTCAAGTGGCCAAGATCCCGCCCTTGCAAGTGCAGTGCTCAAACGCTGCGCCGCCACGCCAATATCTCGTGTGGCGTCGCTGTGTTGGCTCAGCGTCTGTCGCGGAAAGCCGGGACAGGTCCCCTTGTAGATGGTGAAAAGATAGTAATGGCCTCCAACCTAATAGCGATGGCCTCCACCCTACTAGAGGTGGCCTCCAACCTAGTAGCTTCTTGAGAATGTCAATGTATTTCAATGTATTTGGCTGCTTTCTGTCAAACTCTCCTCCCAACTGGGAAAACAACGTTTTCTTTGCAGAACACGCATTGAATAGAAAGATGTCAGATTAGGGATCGAAACATATGATTGGATATTCCAAAAGTTTTTGTTATTGTATGAGTCACATAATACATCGTGATTGCTTTTCCAAAGTGACAAGAGGATACAAGTGTAACAAGATGTGGCATGCTTTGGCAGCTAATTGGGCATCATTCACTAGTAACAAAAGCGCTACTAGTAACAAAGGGCATCTCTTCTAGGAGCAAGAAGCTACTAGTAGCTCCTGGCCTTACTACTAGCAACAAGAAGCTACTAGGAACAAAGGGCATCAATTCACTTCAAGTCGTTTTCCTTCTCGTGGCCTCATAGTCCAAACCAGCTCCCTGCATCGACTCGACTCCGCGGAGACTCCGCGCAGCGGGATGCAGCGGAAGCGAGCTTGAGCCCAAACAGCACAGGCACAAGCTCCTAGTAGCGTTCTTGCTCCTAGTAGTAAGGCCAGGAGCCCCTAGTAGCATCCTTGTTCCTTGGACCTGCATATGCAACCTAAGAGCGATGGCCTCCAACCTACTAGCGATGATGCAATGGACCTGCATATGCACCGGACAATGCAGGGATAGGCAGGGAGTGCTACTACACCTTGGTGATTTTGCCACTGTGTCTTCTGCGAGTATGCACTGTTCAGGAGAATGATAAGCAATGTAACATAATGTAACTATGAGGTAGGTCCCTCGTCTGACAAAACAATGAAACTGACGAATCTTTCTGCTTTCGCTGAAGGCGCAGCGTGCGCAGGCACTGCGGCACAGCGGCACAGCGCTCCAACGATGCCTCGGACACAAAACCCTGGCGGCTCTAGCCCCAGCTAGCTGGGCTTGCCAAGACCGAGCGTCACAGCCGCTTCAGCCGCTTTCAGCTCATGGTAAGGTAACTCTATTGAGAATTGAGGGTTAGCTTATCTGTCTTCACTAGCATCGATTGACTCTACTGATGTCAGACTTTTGCAACCTGATTTCAGAGACTTTGAAACATTGTTTGGCAGCGAGTGTCTAAGAATTTGCTCCTCACAGCTCTTTGTCGGCAAAAACGTTTTCTCTGATCCATTGGCCCAGCCTGACAAAGCTCGACTCTTCGGAAGTGTGGCAAATATCTGGACATGTGCTCTCGGCAGATGAGTGTTGGGAAAGTTCGAGTGTGAGAACACATGCATGGACCTGCATGGACATGGCAGTTTGTCAACGTGTCCCAATATTCTTTCAAATGATTCCTCATGATTCCTCTATAGAATGTGTAGATGGATGCTGGTTCCGCCTTCTTGACCTGGGAAGGCAGCCATGACATCAGCATCCACTTCAAGGTTAATCTTTTCAGCTTCCACGAATAAACAGAGAAAAGCATTAAAAGCATCGGCAAGTAACGAAACGCAAGTTGGTGATCTGGCTGTGTCAAAACCCGGGCTGTTTCTCTTACAAAAATTGTCGTTGGATGTCAACCGACCATGGCCCGCTGAGTTTTTTCAAAAAGAATAGACATCTTTAGGTTGGAGGCCATCGCTCTTAATTGGAAGATAAGAGTATATAAGTATATATATATAATTAATGATACTCTCGTGTAAGACGCAGCTCTCGGCCTCAAAGGATCCAAAGGAATCGATTCTTTTCCTCGTGGTGTCAAAGGACTTTCGGCCATCATGAAGTTCCTCGGAAGCTACGAACGTAACAAGGGGCTTTTCTACTTCCAAAAAGAAGCTACTAGTAGAAAGGCACCTTGCTAGTAGCAGTTGCAAGAAGCTACTAGGTGGAGGCCATCGCTTCTAGTGGCCAGAAGCTACTAGTAAGTCCATGGGGTCCACTAAGTAGACTCTATACACAGCATAGTGCTCTATGGCAAGCCTGAGCCATGTTCCACATCAGTCCACTGGTTGGAACATGTAAGTCTTATCAGACAGTGACTGTTAAACATGAGATGACAGTCTTATCGGACTAAACAGTCTGAAGTATTTGTGAGACAAATGCAGTGGAAAATAGCGGGTCACCCACTCTGTTCAGAGTAGAAGGTACTAGTCCTGCGAATTTGCTGACTAGGAAAAGCCCTGTCTTGTAGTCTGGGCGCCCTCCTACAACGACTTCTTCAGCCCTATGCAAGCAACATACAGCAGCTAAGTTGTCACAGAAACATACAGTAATGATTCGTTTTGCTCCAAGTTGCACTCGCATTAAAAGCTCACAGGTCTTTCCCTTGTCTGCGACAAAGTACATTCCTTCCGCGGAGCGGGGCACTGAGAAACATGGGCCAGGCAGCCCACATGGTGCAACCCTAAATCACCCCACCTGGGGAGCCCTACAAATAGTCCTCTTAGCGCAGTCTTCAGGCATCCACCCCCCATGCCCCAAATCACACATTTGTCAGCGCTCCTTGCATTCCTAGGTTGCCCAAGTTGAAGACTGCCGCACCATCAGGCTTCATCTGTCCCAAACTGAGCAGGGGACAAAGTGTTTAAAGCCCGAGGATGCGGAAGACATGACGCCTCACATGTTGAATATGGAACAGAGTCCTAATGGGCCTTCACTTGATCAGCGGAGGCCTCGATGGAGGTTCCGAGGCTGCCCCTGGGTTCAAAACTATTGCAGGGAACTAGCTTTTGGGCTAGAAGGCCTTTTCAGAGACTGAATGAAGTGAACTGCCATCTCTAACCCTATCTGAAAAGATCACTAGCCACTAGCCATGCGTTGTTAGGCAGCTTTTGTAGACCATCTCTGCCATTTCTGCCAGAGCCAAGTGGCAAGAGCTTCAGTTGCTCAGTGTTGGGGTCGAAGGAGCACCCAGCGTAGACGACGTCGAAGGTCTTCCCTTCGGCCTTCCTCGGCACGGTGAGATGGCTCCTTCGTCTGAAAGCCATGACTTTCAAAGGGAAGGTGCTCGGTCCCGGCCAAGGAATGTCCACAGCTCAAGGGAAGCTACTAGTAATGCCCTTTGCTGCTAGTAGTTTCTTGTTACTAGTAGCGATGCCCTTGTTACTAGGAGAGAGGAGCTACCAGTCTGCCACCTCATTTGTCCGAATTCATCCAGGCTGCCACCTCTTGAGATACTCAAAGGCATCGCCGCCCAGGAAAGAAAACCTGAGTTGACTCGGCTGACTAAAATGTATGGAAGGCTGACATTGGGGGTGTTTGGATCCGCCACTCGCCGACGTCCTTCAACGGTCTGAATATCCTAAGTTTGAATGTGCGACAAATGTGATCTTTGAGCACCTCAGTCTCAAACAAGCTGCTGCTCTTCATTGAAGGGCGTAAATGGGCCATCCTTCAAAAGCATGTTCCTCGGACCCAGAAATGGATATCGGATGACTCTGCATCTTGGTTTGACGACACACTCGCAAAGGCACTGAGTTTCCATCCAAGCTGTTTTGGTGCTGCGTAACGACAAAGAAAGACTTGTATTGACGCATTGACAAACTCGCAACTTCCAAGTGGCCTTCATCCCACCAGCCAAAAATGAAAAACAAGAGAGAGAGAGGATGAGTCTCTACGTGGATGTACAAATGGAACAAACTATGAACAAGGGGCCATGCCTCGACAAACTCCAACTCCCAAGCCCTACCGAAAGACTTTTCTAAAAGCTTCTTGTTCATAGTAGCGATGCCAGGAGCCCCTAGTAGCGTAGCGTCCTTGCTCCTAGTAGTAAGGCCAGGAGCCCCTAGTAGCTTCTTGTTGCTAGTAGCGATCTTTTCTAAAACTGAGAATGACTTCATCCAATCTCCAGCTGGGTCTCCGTGTGGCCACCGACACCTTATCTGCCAGGTCCACACCGACTACGGTGGCACCGGCCTCGCTGGCCGCAAGGCACATGGCGGCCATGACACCGCTGCCAAAGCCCAAGTCGAAGATCTGCGCCTTCGGACGCCTCGAAAGCGAAATCAGCCTTGAGTTTTGTGCGGCACAGGTCAAATCCTTTGAGATGTTTGGAATCTGCTTTTCGTCCAATGAAAATGTCTCTCTAATCGACTCGCAAAGGCCATCCACACCTTCGTAGCTGCTACAGTTGCTTTCCGAGTTAAACCTCCAAGCATCATCCACAGTCGCAACGCAACGCAGGACATCCTTTCGTAGACAGCCTGAGGAACGGTTGCAATCGTTCCAGGGCAGGGATCTGGACACTCCTCGGCAAAGCAACCCAGCATCGTGGCCAAATGCATTTTCTTCGCTTTTGAACTGGAGAAGGGATTCAGAATTGAAGAGATCCGTGTTGAAAGCCACACGTATATAGTTGGAAATGGGACATCCGAAATCTGCAGTTGCCTGCACCATCCTGCACCACTCAACTCACCGGCAATGCAACTGGACCGCATAGTCGTCATGCCTTCAAGCTGATGAAGGTCTTGCATATCAACAGTGATAATGAGGCACTCAATGGTACATCATGGTACATCCAACAAGTATGTTGGATTCCAGTGATGGCCTCCAACCTCGTAGCGTTCTTGCTCCTAGTAGCGATGCCCTTTGTTCCTAGTAGCTTCTTGCTCCTAGTAGTATGGCCAGGAGCCCCTAGTAGCGTCCTTGCTCCTAGCGATGGCCTCCAACCTAAGAGCGATTTCCAATGTTCACTACCCCACGATCATCCGCTCCATGATCCCCTGTCGTCATCCGCTCGACCCGCTTCGAAGCCAGGCTTCAATGCTGAAATGGTCCCTCCACTTGACGCCCGCTGTGGCATGGGATTGTTCTCCCAAACCTGGGACGCTAGAGCGACACAACGAAGGTGAAGCCTAAAAAGCTGACTTGCGTTTATCTGGTCGAATCTATTGGAATCTGCTAGTGGCACGTTGGAATACCAACAGTTTTGGCTCTCTTTTCCTGACGAGTGGACACATGAATATTAAATTGTGGAAATGTCTGTTCTTAATTATGCAACTCTTGTTTGCATACCTGTCAGCCACGGTGCTGAAGCATCGCCGCCGAAGCGCAGGTGCAAACGGCAGAGCTCCTCCAACGGAAGAGAAGCACCAGCGCCAGCGGCAGCGGAGAGGAAAGGCTTCTGGCTGAAACTGCCTTGGCAAGCTTTCTCGGAAAGCTGCTGATCTGTTGGAAGCTTTGCAAAGCTGAATGAATGGTTTGAAGCAAGAAACAAGCTGAACTTTGCGCTGAGATCCGAGAAGTTGACCGAGGTCGGTGCAAAGCCCCAGCAGTGCCATTCCCAGGGGCCGCCGTGCCCACCGGGCCCAGTTGGGCATGAGCTCCGTGCGAAGGAAGGCCGGTCCAAGTGGCATGGCGAAGTGAGAAGATTGAGACGCTGACGTGGCACCTGTTACTACTAGCGTGGCACTTGTTCCTAGTAGCTTCT